GATTTCTTAATTTCATTTTCTCTGAAATCATTTCATTGAATGTTCTGATTGTAGTCTCTTGTAATAGACTAAAGCTGATTTCAATGCTCCGTTGACATCCTTCGACTGGAATGAAATCGATCCAACACTGGCTGTAACATCAAGTATCGATACTACTTGTACCGTGTGGAATGTAGAAACAAAACAAGCGAAAACACAATTAATTGCTCATGATAAAGAAGTTTATGATGTTGCGTTTGCATCAGGCAGTATGGACGTGTTTGCCAGTGTTGGTGCTGATGGCAGTGTGAGGATGTTCGATTTGAGGTTAGAATCTATATATATAGATATACATATTCTTTTTTTATAAATAAATGGTTAATTGTTTTCTTACTCTATATTTTTGTTTTTCTCTTAAACTCAGAAATCTTGAACATTCTACGATCATTTATGAAACTGTTAACCCACATCCAACACCCGCGAATGCTCCGAACACAAATCCACCTTCTCCTTTACTCAGATTATGTTTCAACAAAATGGAACCTAGCTACTTGGCCACTTTTCATATGGATTCTCCAGATGTTCAAATATTAGATATAAGAGTTCCTGGTGTTCCTGTCGCAGAATTAAGAGGTCATTCAGCGACTGTCAATTGTGTTAGTTGGGCACCAAATAATCATGGAATTCTATGTAGTGGTGGTAAGCCATCTTATAAATATAAATTTAATTATATGTATTGTATATAATTTTTATGTTAAATATGAACATGTTTTACTTTAGGCGATGATTCTCAGGTTCTTGTTTGGAATATTAATGCTGTACAAATAGGTGGCGTTGGCACCAAACCATATAATAATGATCCTGTCTTATCTTATAAAGCCGATAACGAAATCAGTCAGTTAAGTTGGAGTTCTAGATTTACAGATTGGGTTGCAATAGGATTTGGTAATACTGTACAGGCTTTGAGAATGTGATGGACAATGTTTACCAATAACTCTACACGTGTCGCATTTAATATAAATCATTCAAAAATAATATTATGATCCATTCACTTTACAAATTATGTACAGAGAGGGGAACAGAAACAACACAACAAATATTATGTATTTATGATCTAAAAAATGTCGCAACATTTTATGCATTCAAATTTGTCTATTATAAATTGATAAGCATATTAAAAAATATTAAGAAAACAAATAGTATTTGTGTTAATTTGGTTCCTTTCTGTATTTATTAAATCAATAAAACATATTCACTTCACGAGTATAACAATCACTCGATTATTACATTTTTTGTATATAGAACTTTTTATTAAATTTAGTATTTTTTTAATATTATTAGTATAGAAAGGCATTTTGATCACGGTTATTGTTTATTATCATATTGTTACTACAATATTATAGTATAACTGATAAATACTTTACCTCGAAATATTAAAATTTATAATTTTTTTTTTTAAAATATTATTTTTTTTAAATAATTAAGTTTATTAAAATTAAATAATTTTTTTTTTTTTTTTTTTTTCAGCAATCATGCTAATACTTTATTTAATCAACAATTTTAATCTATGACTAAAAC